AAGGAGGAGGGAAATGAGTTAATAAAAGCAAGGAAATGGGACCAAGGAAAAAGGCCAGTAATTTTGAAATCATGCCAGGGTGTTCAAAACATGTTTTCATTGTTGTTATGGGGGTTTCCTCTTCCTTACAAAAATGGGATCAACTACAAACCCTGTTCTGCAATTTGCTTTCTCTGTGTAACAGTGAGTCTTGTAGATCTTGCTGTGCGAGTATATAGAGATCTACATTTTTCTTTGGATCTGCTGCAGAGTAATCCATAATATAGGTATATCATGGACTAAGAGCTATTCCCTACTGACAGACATTTAGGTGGTTTTCATTTTTCAGTATCACAAGCAATGCTGCACTGAACATCTCTGCATATGTCTCGAAGTATTCTTGAAGGTTAGATTCTTAAAAGTTGAACTTTTGGGCCAAAGGAATGCACATTTTGTTTAAAGTGCCCATAAAAGTTATTTCCGTTACTTTAACATTTTTGCAGACTGGCTACAAATAAAGATTATCCCTACTCACATAATCTTGTCTTTCTTTTGAGAAGCATTTATCATGTACCTTTTAGTTAAGAGTGGGTTGAGAATGATATCCTACAAGGGCATATGAGAAACAGTTGCACAACCTGGCTTACGTTTGCAGTTTGGATTGTGGCGTTTTAGAAAAGGTCTCTGGCTGTGGCCAAGTTGGGGTCCTTCTGGAAGCAAGAGCTTGGAGAAATCTAACTCCAAGATACGGTTCTCAGCATGGAAGAATACAGACATTTAGGATTCTGGTGGTAACTGACAAACTAGCCCCATAAAAACTGTTACCAATTTGCACAAGGTATCTGACAGGTTCTATTTCTCCAGAACCCTTCTGATATTTTTAATTTTGGTACCTAAAAATGGCACTTCATTGTTTTAGTGACATTTCTTTAACTATTAGTAAGCTTGAGCAGCTTTCCTCATTTGTTAGCTAATTGTCTATTTCTTCCCTGAGTTGCCATATCATGTTATTTCTCCATTTTGAATGGGTTTTGTCTCTTTTTCTTACTAGTTTCCAGAAGGTGATATAGATACAGGCAGAGATATTAATCTTTTGCCTGATATCTGTGTAGCAAATACTTTCCCCTAGCCTGTTGTTTATGTTTTAATTTTGTGCATAGTGTCTTTCCCCACACAGAAGTTTTAAATTTTAATGAAGCTGAAATTATTACTCTTTATGTTATAGCTTATGGGTTTTTAAGTCATGCTCAGAAAGGCTTGCTCCACCCTAATATTATTAAATTCCTCTCCTCCTCCTCCTCCTCCTCCTCCTCCCTTTCTTCTTCTTGTTCTTCTTTTCTTCTTCAAGACAGTCTCCTTCGGTTGCCCAGGATGGAGTGCAGTGGTGAGATCTTGGCTCACTGTGATCTCCACCTCCTTGGTTCAAGTGATTCTCCTGCCTCAGCCTCCCAAGTAGCTGGGGTTACAGGCACGTGCCACCAGGTCCAGCTCGTTTTTGTATTTTTGGCATTTTACCATGTTTCCCAGGCGGGTCTTGAACTCCTGAGCTCAAGCAATCTGCCCACCTCAGCCTACCAAAGAGCTGGGATTACAGGAGAGAGCCACCACATCTGGCCTGTATTTGTTTTCATACGAAACAGGGATTTCACTTAAATGTTTTTACCAAATGGGTAACCAATAGTCCCATCTCATTTATTGACTCCCCACACTGATTTGAGATGTCTTCTGTCATAAATTCCCATATGAACATGAGTTTATTTCTAAACTCCGTTTCTTCATGTCTGTAGTCCTCTATTTCTTTGATGATAGAATATTTGTAATTATTGCAGCTTTATGGTAAGTTTTTATCTTACAAGTCACCCTCGTTCTTTTTCAAATTTTTCTTAGTGATTCATGAACATTTACTTTTCCGAATGAACTTTAAACTGCAATCACTCAAGTTCCAAGGAAAATATCATTGAAATTTTAATAAGGAATGCAATGAACGTTTTGATCAAATTAGGAACAAATACCATTTTTACCACAGTGACTCTTCTCATCCAGGAACAAGATGTAACTTTGTGCCAGGCGCGGTGGCTCACGCCTGTAATCCCAGCACTTTAGGAGGCCGAGACGGGCAGATCAGGAGGTCAAGAGTTCAAGACCAACTTGAACAACAGGGGGAAACCCTGCCTCTACTAAAAAAACAAAAATTAGCTGGGCATGGTGACATGCACCTGTAATCCCAGCTACTCAGGAGGCTGAGGCAGGAGAATCACTTGAACCTGGGAGGCAGAGGTTGCAGTGAGCCAAGATCACCCCACTGCACTCCAGCCTGGGCAACAGAGTGAGACTCCGTCTCAAAAAAAAAAAAAGATATAACTTTGTTTTACTCAAGACTTCTTAAAGCCATTGATGAAATTTTATAGTTTTCTATAGAGAAATATTTCGCATTTCTTGCAAATTCATAGGGGTTTTATGGAATTATTTTTTCTATTGTGAATGGGATATTTTCTGTTATGTGTTCTAATTACTTATTGCTGGTACTCAGAGAAGTTAATGGCTTGCGTGTATATCTATCTGTGTCTACTCATTGCATTGAACTTTCTTCTTTTACTAATTTTTCACTTTATTCTCTTCAATTATCCAAGTAGACAATCATATTATCCTCAAATAATGCTAATTCTAACTCTGTCTTTCTAACATTTATACCACGTATTTCTCTTTTTAATTCCACTGGTTAAAATTTTTAGAAAAATGTCAGTTAATAACAGCGATAGCCGCCATCCTTATTTTGTTCCTGAGTTTAATGGAAACGTATCTAGTACTTCACTTTACATTTGATGATTCTCTTTGGTTTCTGATAAAAATTCTTTACCAAGTTGAGGAAGTCTTCATGATTCCTAGCTTACTATATTAGTCATCTATTGCTGTGTAACAAACTACCCCAATATAGCAGAATAGATGTGTAACTTAATCAGATCACTTTTCAGCATTAATGGAGATTATATGATATTTTCTCTTTAATCTCTTAATGCAATGAATTACAATAACATTTACTAATGTTGAACAATCTGCACTCTTGGGGCAAACCTTCATTTGTCACAATATATTTTTCTTTTAATACACTGATGGATTCCACTTGATAATCTTTTACTGAAAATATTTGCTGCTCTATTAATATGTAGCATTAGGCTATAGTTTGCTTCTTATTTTGCTTAAACGTATCTAGTTATACTAGCCTCATAGAATGAATTGGGAAGCTATGTTTTCCTATTACCTGATCTTTGAAGATCTGATAGAATTTCTATCATACCAGAACTTCCAGAATACCAACTGGACCTGGTTCCATTTCTGGGGAGAAAATTTTGACCATCTTTTCAGTTTCTTCCATAGTTTTCCATTTTATTCAGGTTTCCTACCCCTCCTTAAGTCACTTTAGTAATTTACATTATCCTAGAAAACCACCCAATTCATCTATATTTTCATATTTACTGATATAAAAGCATATCCAATTTTTTTTTTGAGATGGAATCTCAACAACAGGCTGGAGTGAAGTGGTACAATCTCAGCTCACTGCAACCTCTGCCTCCCAGGTTCAAGTGATTCTCCTGCTTCATCCTCTCAAGTAGCTGGGATTACAGGCACGCACCACCATGCCCGGATAATTTTTGTATTTTCAGTAGAGACGGGGTTTTGCCATGTTGGCCAGGCTGGTCTTGAACTCCTGACCTCAGGTGATCCACCTGCCTTGGCCTCCCAAAGTTCTGGGATTACAGGCATGACCCACTGCGCTCAGCCAGTATTTTCTTATAATAACTTTTTAAAAATCTGTTTAGAACCTATGGTTAAATCCCCTTCCCTATATATTTTATTTATTTATTTATTTAGCCTTTTCTTAGTCATGTCTGCCAAAGGATGGCTACCAAGCTAGGTAGAGCTAGTCTTTCCAAAAGTCATATTTGCTTACTTATTAATACTTTATCAAAGCTTTTATTTTCCATTTCATTAATTTCTGGTTTTATCTGTAGTAATTATTCTGCTTTGTTTTGGTTGTATTTTTCTAGCTTCTGGAGTGGAATCATGAGTCCGTTTAATTTAAACCATCATGTTCTTTCACAAAAGCAATTAAGATCATAAATTTTCCTCTGGGAATCCCTGTGACCATATTCCATAGTTTTTAATATGTAGTATTCTCACTGACATTTATTCTAAATAGTCCATAAATTCCACTCTTATTTCCTCTTTAACACAAGTATTTTTAAACTTTCAAATGGGGAGGAGAGCCTAACCCTTTTGCTGTTGTTGCTAATAGTTCCTTTTATTGAGTTATAATTAGAAAACGTAACTTAGAAATAACGTTCTCCGGCTGGGTGTAGTGGCTCACGCCTGTAATCCCAACACTTTGGGAGGCCGAGGTGGGTGGATCATGAGGTCAGGAGTTTGAGACCAGCCTGGCCAACATGGTGAAACCCTGTCTCTACTGAAAAAAAAAAATTACAAAAATTAGCCAGACGTGGTGGCATGTGCCTGTAGTCCCAGCTATTCAGGAGGCTGAGGCAGGAGAATTGCTTGAACCCGGGAGGTGGAGGTTGCAGTGAGCCAAGATTGTCCCACACAGCACTCCAGCCTGAGCGACAGAGCAAGACTCCCTCTTGGGGAAAAAAAAGGAAGAAGTAACTTTCTCCAAAGATATGGGCAGATTGTTCCCTCTGCCTCAACACCCTTCCTCAGTCTATCCAACTGGCAAATTCCTATTCATCCTTTACAACAGCTGGAATATCACATAGTCTAGGACAAACCACTCAGGCTTTTTCGGGCTGGTCTCTAGGGAAGAATTGTTTTAAGGAAGGACAAACTACATATGGGCCCTGAATATCCTCTTTGGTCTCCTGACCTGATCTCCCAGGCACTCTCCTCATACACTCTGACACCCATTCCACAGGCACAGCAGGGACTCAGGGAGGTGGGAGGGGCTGGCAATGACACTGTGTATTTGTCTGGAACGGGGAGGAGTTGGGGGGGATGGGTCTAGCTCTTACCTGCTCTCTGCCAGCCTGCCTGAGGGGGTAAGCTTCATGGAGTCAAGGACCTGAGTAGGACAGCAATACTGGTGTAGAGTATGAGACGCTGTGGACCTGAGAGACAGCGAGAGACAGAGAGAGACAGAGAGAGAGACAGGGAGGGAGGGAAGTGGCAGGGTGGGCAATGGGGGCAAGAAGGTGAGAGTGCGGGAGGGGAAAAGGGAAGGCTGGGAGGAATGGAGGATGGGGAAAGGAAGAGGAGGGGAGGGGGACAGGGAGGGAAGGAAGATAAGAAGGGAAAAAGGAAAAGAGAAAGGGAGAGAGGGAGGAAGACAGGGAGAGAGGGAGGGAGGGAAGGAAGGAAGAGAGGGAAGGAAGGAGGGAGGGAGGGATGGAGGGAGGGAAGGAAGGGAGGGAGGGAGGAAAGGAAGGAAGGAGGGAGGGAAGGGAGGGAGGAAGGGGGGAAGGGAGGGAGGAAGGGAGGAAGGGAGGGAGGAAGGGAGGAAGGGAGGAAGGGAGGAAGGGAGGGAGGGAAGGAGGGAAGGAAGGTAGGAAGGAAAGGGGAGGAAGGAGGGAAGGAAGGAAGGAGGGAAGGAAAGGAGGAAGGAAGGAAGGAAGGAAGGAAGGAAGGAAGGAAGGAAGGAAGGAAGGAAGGAAGGAAGGAGGGAAAAAAGAAAAAACCACAAAGTCAAGAAAGAGAGGACGGCACTCGAACCACATACAGAACACAACGACAACAGGGGGCAGTAGAGACGAAAGAGCCGGGCTGGGCCTCCTGTGTTCCAGGTGACTCCGTGGGGACCTCAGCCACAGAGACGCTGGGACACCACAGCAGGGAAGGGGGAAGGGAGCCCTCCTCACACCAGACGCCACAGGGGTAGGGAGGATGGGAGGGGGAAAGGGGGATGAAAGAGAAGGGGGAAAGATGCCTGGGGGCTCCCCTGAGAGTAGACCCCTCACAGGAAGGGAGAAAGGGATCGAGGAAGGAGAGGCTCTGGGCCCAAAGAGTGGGGAGAACCCAGGTGGGTGGGTAGGGGGAACACTGAAGGAAAAGTGGGAGAGAGACAGAGAGAAACCGAAAGAGACAGAAGAGGAGAAAGACATAGAAAGAGGAAGACAGAGAAAGGGCGAGACAAAAGACACAGAGAGAAGCCAGAAAGAGGCAGAGAGTGCCAGAGCAGAGGAGGGCGAGGGCGGAGGAGGCTGACAAGGTCTCAGTGGTCTTGGTGACAGGATGGGACTCAGGGCTGAGTGGGTGAGGCCGAGGATGGGGTGGTTCCAGGTAGGGGTCTTTTGCTTTGAAGGCCACTGCTTCCCCCCATCCCAAGGCAGGGCCCGCACTCCACCCCTGATGCTGCGCTCCCACCCCTAGTGCGGGGTCCAAAGGCCCCTCCAACCTCTTGCCTCCCGCAGAATGGCCAAGGAGAGGAGGCAGCACAGCAGGGCAGGGAGGCTAAGGGCCTGGTCCCTACCCTACTCCATGCAGCGCAGATGCCAGAGGTGTGCCAGTCAGCTGGAGACAGAGGAAACTGGGAGTGGAGCCGACCCCCCCAGGTCAGCCAGCCCCTGTCACCCACAAGCCCCTAGAGGTAAGATGTGGTCAGGGCCTGGCCATTCAAAAGCCCATGTAAAAGCCAGGAGATGTGGCTGCAGGCCAGGCCAGCTGCAAATTTGAGGATGTCCAAATCTCAGAACCTTACAGGGAATCTTTGAATCTGAGACTCTTCTTATCAAAGGCTCTGGATTAATCATCAGGGCGACTGCTTCTCAGGTGCCAGTCTCCAGCCCAAGTCCTTGACTCATGATCTCTTTTGAATCTGAGACTCAGAGACCCTTAGGCTGCTGAAATGTTGGTGTTAGATCTCAGAGGCCGAGAGGCTGGAGCCCTGCAGTGCCTCGAACACACAGCCAATAAGCCGGGTAGCAGCCAAGCTCACCCCTCACCAGCCACAGGCTGTGCTGCTCAGGGCTCAGGGTCCTTCCAGAGCTGGACACCTGGATGCCCATGGGCTCTCCCACTCGAGCTGGCTCCCTCCCCCAGGCCAAAGGCCTCTCAGAGTCCAAGAAGGGAGCCAGGAACCAGGAAGCCAGGAGGCTGCTGAATCAACAGCCCAGGTACTGGGTCCAGGCCTGGGCAGGAAGGGAGGGGCCAGGCTGCAGGGCCCAGGTTCCTACCTGTTGCTCCTCCTGGGGGGCTCCATGGGTCTGGACCTGTCCCAAGGGCAGGCCCCCTGGCCTAGCCGGTGTCTCCACTGTGTCACCACCCCCTCCTCCCCAGCCCTTCCCTAGAAGGAGGAACCAAGAAGGCGGGGCCAGGCCAGCTGGGCTGCGGGCCAGATTGCAACTGGAAACTTTGCTCCTTCCCCTACTCCTCCTGGAGGGCTGGGAACTCCTAGGAGGAGGAAGCAGCCTCCTCCTCTGGGCCAAACCCCAGGCTGGGCTCCCTCGGTGCACCTCTGCTAGAATCTCCCCAAGCACTCCATCAAGTGTGTGGCTCTGTTCTCCTGAACAGAACATTGCGACGGAGAGAGGTCAAGTAATACCGCTAGTCCGTGGCAGAACCCCAAGATCAAGACCCGGTTTGGCTATTCCCAAACCTGGAATCTGTGCCCTCAGCCATATCGCTACCTTGTGAATACAGAAACCTTTTCATAGAAGCTTTTCACTAATACACTCATTTCCAGCACAGTTAAAGAGATTATGTCTAAGAGTTGTTCTGGGACTCTCCATATCAAGGAAAATTCAAATCACCCATTTTGAGATCTCAAGATGGGGCCCTGGCCAATATTCTTTTTCCCACTGCAGTCAGTTCTCACTCGTCTGTCTTGTTTTCTAGACTAGCTGAGAGAAATGCTTCCTGAAGAGAAGAGGAGAAATCAAAAGAAATGCCAAGAGGCTGTTCCTCCAAGGAAACTGCCCAGCCTGACTTTACAGATGGGGGAATTGAGGCCTGGAGAGGAGAAGAGTCTTACTAAAGTTCACGCAGCAAGTCAGAGTAGACTCCAGGTGCCCTGGTTCCCTGCCTGCCTATGACAGCAACCTCTCTGTCCTCCACATGGGCGCGACTGGGGAAAGGAGAGAGTTTTTCAGCTCTGAAGGATGTGGGGCTCCTGAAGAGTACCACAGGTCCAACTTGAAGTGCTCCCGTCCTTTCATGGCTCCAGAGCCCAGGCCCCTGGCTGTTCTGAGCAGAAGGCGGCCCTGGGAGGGGCCAGGGGGCCAGTGATCTAGAAGAAATAGAAGCTGACAGGCAACAGGCCAGCCTTCCTGCCTCCCTGCTGGGGCAGCTGGTTCCTCTCAAGAAAGCCAAAGCTACTGAGAGAGAGAGGCCCTCCGGACCACCGCAAGGTTGGCATCTGTGGGTCCTTGGTGGCCTCCTCTCCCTCTGCCCACCCCTCAAAGCCCTGGTCCTCAGGGCTCTGCCCTTAGCTCCTGCCTTAAAAAAAAAAAACAAAACTTTCCTTAAGCAACTCTCCTAGCTCCTGCAGCAGCTTCACCTTGTAACTAGCCATTTGTAGTTATCGCCCTAAGAGCTGAACCCTCTTGACCTGGCAGGAGCCAATAGACATTAAGTGCAGTGCTGGGCTGGGTGCAGGGGTTCACGCCTGTAATCCCAGCACTTTGGGAGGCCAGGGTGGGCAGATCACCTGAGCTCAGGAGTTTGATACCAGCCTGGGCGACATGGCAAAACCCTGTCTCTACTTAAAATACAAAAATTAGCCAGGCGTGGTGGTGCACACCTGTAGTCCCAGCTACTAGGGAAGCTGAAGTGGGAGATCACTTGAGCCCTAGAGGCGGAGGTTGCTGTGAGCTGAGATCACGCTTCTATACTGCAGCCTGGGTAACACAGCAAGACCCTGTCCAAAACAAAAAAACGTGTAGTGGTAGCTTTAAGGGATGATGCCGTGTGACCTTGGGTAAGCCCCTTTCCCTCTCTGGTGAAGCAAAAAAACCTACACTTTGGTGCCTGATAAAGCTAGGTACAAGTCCCCACCCTATCACTTTTTAGCTGGGTAAGCCCTCTGAGGCTTAGTTTGCTCATCTATAGAAAAGGGGTGTCAATTCCTACCTCACCGTTCTTGTAGGGATTTGGTAGACAGAGTGTGCATGTGGTGAAGAGTCTCAGCTTGAGCTGGAGAGAGTCTGACCCTTCTCCCAGAGAGGCAGAGGACCCATGGGAATCCTGTTTGTTTCAGGGATACTGAGGAAGACTTCTAAGAAAATATCCCTGAACCTGGGGCCACTTTTGGAATTCAGTCATAGCTGAGCATGCTGAGCCAACTCATGATGATCCATCAGCAGTTGAAGGGAGGAAGGAATGAAGGGTGAGGAGCCTGACCCAGCCACGGGGCACTGGCAGGGCCTTCATGTGCTTGGTTGACAGATACTGTGGCCCAGGCACTGTGCCCGGGGCTGGATACAGCAGGGACTAAGGGTAGACATGTCCTGCTCTCATGGAGCTTATATCCAAGTGATAGGAGACAGACATTCACAAACCGATGCAGTTCAACTGAGCAAAAGGTAGAGATGGCAGGAGGAGAGCATTCCAGGCAAAGGAAGCAACCTGGACAAAGGACCTGAAGTGCTATTTCCAGCAAGCATGAAGAGGCCAGTGTGGCAGGGCGGGAAAAGTGCAGGGGAGAAAGGCAAGACTGGAGATGGAGGTGGTGGCCCAGCATGCAGAGCCTTGGAGGCCTCCGTGCGGGTTTCCGTACCTATAGGAAGAGCGGTTTGGGAGCCTGTGGTTTGTGGACATGCATGTGGAGCGAGGAGTGTCTTGGAAGTCCCCAAAGTTGTATGAAGAGTATTAATTTCTGGGGAGAGCATCTCTAGCTTTGGCCAGATCCTCAGATGGGTCTGTGATCCCAAAGGGTAGGGAAGCTTCTTATATGATTCCATTCACTAAGTGCCCATGATGAGCTAGTGGCAGCATCCTAGAACCTTCTGTGAGCTAGCCTGTACCCCACACCTCCAGCTAGTCTCAGCCTTCCCCTTGCCTTCAACCTGCACCCTACCCAGACTGAAGCACCTGCAACTCTTGGCTCCACTCTACTGCTCCAAGCCTTATTAAAGAGACTGTGTGTCAAATGCCCTGTAATAGTACCTCTGTTGTCCCGCTGTGCCCCCACTGTCATCTCCCCACCTGGCTGGCTCCCCCTTGTTCTTCAAAAGTCAGCTACGTGTTGTGCCCTCTGGGAACCTGCCTTGACCCCACCCAAGCAAGATGGGTCACCTCCCTTGTGTCCTTCCGCCCTGCTCATTTCTCAGCCGGCTTCTCTTAACACTGTGTTCAGATGTCTGCTGCCCCCTCTTTGCTGGGAGCTCTGTGAGAGCTCTGTTTTGTTCATTCCAGTGTCCCCAGCACTCAGCGCAGGGCACCTGGTCCCACACGTGGGAGACAATGAAGAGGTGGAGGCTGCAAGGTGGGCTGGTGGACACTAGGGGGCACTGTGGCCACTGGAATCCCAGCCTGATGTTGGCCAGGCCAACCCAGGGGGCCCCCAGGCCCGCAATTGTCGAATGGAAACTTGCTGGATCCTGCAGCTCCTCAGCTCTGGATCTAAGCAACCAGGGCAGCAGCTCCAGCCTCCCAATAAACCTTCTGTTCCCTTTCCAGACCAGACCATTTCTCACGACATCGCCATATCACTGCAGATACTCCTTTAGTCCTTCACAAATGTGGGTGCCAAAATGTGCAGTTCTGGCCTGTAACACTCTCCACTTCATCTTGCCCCACCCAACCCCTCACCTGGCTAACTTCTACTCACGCTCCAAGCTTCCTCTTAGATGTCGGCTTGGAGAAGCCTCCCTGGCCCTCAGGCTGGGTTGGGTATATTTCCGTGGTGCTCCCACAGCACCCTGCACTTCCCCTATAATTGTCTCTAATTGTCTGTCTCCTTGTCTATTTCCTGACCAGACAGTGGGCTTCATCACAGCAGGGCTGTTACTCACCACCCTGTCAGCCACATTTAGCAGCATCTGGCACATTGTAGGCACCCAGTAAATCCTTGAATGAAGGAATAAATGAATGGATGGATGGATGGACAACTTGGGGCAGGTCACTTTACCTCTCTAGGTTTTAGTTTCCCCACCTGTAAGTCACCCTACTTGGCAGGGTGGCCACGAGGATTAAAGATAATGTGTGTCCAGTGCTGTGTAATACTACCTGATATTTAGCAGACATTTTCTGAATCGAAGTAATTATTACTATTTGGAACAGTGAGAAAAGGGCAGGAGGAGGAGTTGGAGACTGCCCAGAACCTGGGATAATCTCTCCCACCTAGGTTTACCATTTATATATGGGAGGTAGCTTTAATAGCAATAATAAAACTATCAATTTTATCAAAAATAACAGCACCTACTGTGTGCCAGGCTGGAATCAGGAGGCCTCTGAGGAGGTGGTGGGAAGCCCTATTCTCGGCCAGAGGATGCGACGTCAGGACCAAGGCCAGAGCTGTGGGCATCACCCCCGTGTCTGGAGAACAGTCATTACTGGCACAGCTGGTTCCAAACTCTTTATTCATAGGTGAAAACTTGTCTAAGGGGTCATTAATTCCCTCTGTAATTAATGTAAAACCTGCAGCGTTTGTATTAATGGAAAAGTAAGCTCCAGCGTCAAGCTGATAACATTGATAATGTGTACTTGTAATTATATACTGGAGAAAACTATAAATTCAGTCACCGAACTCACGAAATATCAAACTTCCTGAGGCCACCAAGAGCTGGGTAGCAGCTGTACCATCAGTAGCATTATGCCAGTTGTTCTGAGGCTATGAAAAATTACCACAAGCTGGTAGCAACGGTAATACTCACTACATTTAAAAGCCTTCTCGGCATAAAATAAGAAGGCACTTTTAGACAAAACAGCATGTTTTGACGCAAGAATATGGAACTTGAAAGCACGATGAGAAAAGGTCATCTTGCTATAAAATTGGAACCAAAACCAATCTTGCAAGTGTTTGCCTCTGAGCCGACCAGGCTCTGACCTCACTTGGGTACACATAAAACCTGTATTTATCGCAAAAGAAACACGAAGTACTAAGTGTTTTCTCTCCTCTCATCCAGTTCTCAGGGAATCAATTATCTCACACGGCCCCTTGCTGCCTTGTGTTACCACAGACTGGAGGATCATTGCAGTCCGATGGTGGGGGCGGGCGGATCCTGAAGCTGGAAAAGGTCATATAGCAAGCAGAGGAAGCCGATCCAGAGAGAGGAGTCCATGAAAAAGATGATAGGGGCCAGGCAAGCCATGAGAGATGGAGAAAGATGAGACGTGGGCCCAGGAGATGCAGAGAGCGAGGCAGCAACCTTGGTTCTCGACTTCCTGGTCCCACTTCCAGTTGGTGTGAGGCTTGGTTGTACTTTTTTCACTGTTCTTAGATTCTGTGAGGTGTAGCCTCACAATAGTCCCCCCACCAGCCCTTTATTTTTGAGCTAACTTGAGTGGGTTTCTGTTCCTCGCCACAAAGTGTACCCAGACTAAGACAAGTGAAAATTTGGAATATAAGGGCAGGGTTGTGTAAGCAAAATCACATAAAGAATGCTTAGGTAGAGAGGGGCGAATGCAATTATCCAGCATTTGTGTGTGTTCACCAAGAAGCTCCCTTGTTCCCTGATACTTGCAACCACAGCCACACACTCCAGCCACACGCTCACACACGCTGACATTCAGTGGCACACAGAAACAAACGCAGCAGCAACCAGATATGGTTGTCTGCAGACCCCCGACATGCAGGGCCACGCGCCAGCATGCAGTGTTGCACTGTGCTCTTTACAGCCACACTGCCACGGAGCCCCTGACATGCAGCAGTGCACCCACATGCATGCACATAGAGGTGCTGCCCGTAAGGCTCAGGGCAGGAGTCACAGCTTCATTGGGCTCTGTACAGCCTCCCACCCTAGCTGCCAAGTGACTCATCCCCAGGACTGCTAATTAAAGCCAGGACAGAGGGGACAGAGGCAAGGGGAGGGGAAGAGAGAGAAGGTAAGTTTATTTCGGTGCCAACCAGGCACTCAGCCGGCTTAGGGGTCACCCACTTCCTGGGGCTGGGCCAGGCAGAGGCAGAACACAGAGAGGAAGGGGAAGAGAAGAGAAACCTCTTATCCCTTCTTGCCCTTCTTTTGCTTCCTGGAAAGGTACCTCCTCCTCTGTCCCACTGTCAGAATCCAGCTCTGACTCTTCTAGACTTCTGTCCTTACAAACTGGCTGTCCACCCCATCATCATGCTCCCATTTGGGCTGGCCGGAGCTGGCTCATCTGTGTCTGCAGCAACCCCAGACTGGGAAGCAGTAAGTGGCAAGGTTCCAGGCAAAGGAAGTGGTAGGAACAGGGCAGGGTGGGCCACTGGGCTGAGCCGAATGGGAGGCAACATGGGAGGTGATGCGGCTGGATGGCTCTGGGGACGGGTAGTGACTTGGACATGTGGATGAGGGAGCCACAGATGGTTCATCAGGTCTTGGCCATCTCAGACTGCTAAGAGGTCAAGAGATTATCTAATCCAAACTCCCGCAGGACAGATGGGGGCACTGGGGCCCAGAGTGGGAGGCTCCTCCTCCCACTTGTCCTCCAACTGCAGCGGCTCCCGTTGCCATGGGGACATCCCTGGCTCTGCGGGTGTCAGCGGCTCCCCCACCTCCTCCCTCCTTCCCTAGCAACAGGCCACCTCCTCCGGCTTTCATCCTTGTGTGCCTAGCAACCCCAGCCTGGTCCTCAGGGCCGACAAGTTCAGGCTGACCCTCACTGCAGCAGCGCCTCATCTTCTGGTGAGGGCCTCATCAGGCCCCTCCCGCCCTCTCCGTTTTCAAGTTCTACACCTCTTCACATTCTTCCAGCCTGACTGTATAGCATATGACAATGGATTGGGTTAGGGGAGAGCAGAGGACTCTACAGTTTGTTGCGCCTCTATTTTACACCGAGCATTGCTTTAAGTTCTCTCATTAACCCAGAGAAGTCAAGACTATTGCTTCCATGAGAAACTAAGAACCAGAGAAGTTAAGATTTTGCAAAGAGCACACAGCTAGGAAGCGTGGTATGCTGCTAGCTAGCTTTGTGACCTTGGGCAGTGACCAATCCCTCTCTGGACCTTGGCTTAAGGTGCCTTTAGGTAGATCCGTGACAACTTCTCAGGGATCCACAAGAAGTCCAGGCACCTTTCTCTGCCCATGCCCACCCCCCACCCCCATCACCAGCTGTTCGGTTGTAATTAGACTCCACACTTCCTCTGGCACTCCATACTTAGAAGCCCTCAGGCCTGGGACCTGCCACGGGTGGCTTGCAATCTCCCGACTCTGCTTTCTTCTTGCTATTCAGTTACCATAAAAGCCCAGGCCTAGCGCCTCTCCTCAGTGTTTCTTCTCCCCCCAGCCTTTCCCCCTCCACACACACACGCACATACACATGTGAAGTTTATTAGACGAGGAAACTGCGGTTCCAAGAGACAGATTGTCCAGTCACACAACTAGAAAGCAACCTACCCCCAAATGGAGCCCTGTGCATGGAGCCAATGTTTCTGCCCTTCCTATGCTACAGAGCCTCACCTCTCTCCTCCAGCTTTCCCCAGCTCCCCACTGATGACAGAAAGTCGCTGTGACCCAGCCCTGACTGGCGTTCTGACCTCACTGCTCTTTTCCTGCCTAGATCTTCTATTTTAGCCCCACAGATTGTTCCCTGTCTCTAAACCCACCCCGCTCGCTTTCCTCCACCCTGCTGATCCCACCTCCGGGACACCCTCCTTATGCAAATCTGCACGGCAGTCCCCCACAACCCTGCTGAGACACTGCCTGCTCTGGGAAGCTCTTCCTTACCCTAACTGGAGTGAACTCAAGAAGTTACAAGTGGGTCCCTACCCAGCCCTGGTTGCAAGTTCAAGTTGCCTTCCCATCATGTTGTCGAGATCTTGCCCCCACACGCCATACTTTAGCCCCTTCCCATAGCCTGAGTTTGACCCTCACTTCCCAGATGCTCTGAGTCCTCTAGGCCCTTATAGCCTCCTTGACTGTGGGCCCAGGATGGATATCAGGAAGCGTGTCTGAATAAACTAAATGTGGCTTTGGAATCAGACAGCTCAAGGCACTGACTCTCTCAGAAACGCTTTCTCCTCATCTGTAAATCAGGGATTGTAATCCATGCCTATTAGGGCTGTTGTAAGCATTAAATACGGTGATATTCTGAACTGTTAGGATGTGAGGAACCGATGATGATTGCTATAATCGCTAATATCAGGATGAGGATGGGGATGACGATGATTATCGGCCAGGCTAATTATGTCTTGACACCATGGTGATGGTGTCAGTAGCACTCTGGGGTGGTGCCAGACAGACTTGGGTTTGAATCCTGGCTCAGGATCCATATATTAGCTGAATCCACATATTAGCTGCCTGGCTGTAGGCAAAATCCATAACCACTCTGAGCCTCAGTTTCCTCAACTGTAAAATAATGATGATAAGGCCAGCCCAGGTTCTACCTACAGTGTCACCGGGAGGATCAAACAAAAGAAAGTCCCTGACAACTTCTGTAAGTTGTAAAGGCCCAAATGTATATCATTACTTGACTTATGATTATGCTCATTATGAAATGTCCTGAGCTCTAAGTCCCAGGAACTTCCCGGCTGGGAAGAGCCGAGAACTAGAGATGTTTTCAACCTTGTTCTTCAACAAGTAGCAGGCACATCACTGGGGATGCTTGCAAGAGCCCTGTGCTCGGGGTCAGCTCAGATGGCCTCTCTCCAAACCCACGGTGGGACACTGAGATCTATGCCCTTTGCTAGACAGGTGCCTCCCTAAGTGCTAGAACAAGCTGTGCCCATGACATGCTCCTTGGCTGCATGCTGGGACTAATTATGTCTTGTCACAAACCCCTTTCCTGGACACTGGGACTGATTGCATTAAAGCTGGCCTCAGTGTGTGTTCATCCCACAGCCCCAGTCTTGGCTCTGGGTACTCATGTGTTTACCCCAGATCCCCTGCCTGGGGTGCTAGAACAGAGTGTGTCTCATTAGACACTTTTGTCTGTATGCTGGCATCCTCTGTCCCCAGCCCACATCCACTGCCTGGATGACAGGACCAGGGCTGCTGCATACAGTCGGGCAAGTTGTACACAAAGGGTCACAGCCAAGAGGACACGAACGGGGGCTGATACCCAACCTGTGCTCTGTTCAGTGGAGCCACTCAGAGGGGGTGCCTTTGAAAGGAACATCTTTCTCTATTTTTCACAGAGGTGCCAATTATGCTACTGGCAGCCGTGGCTGGGAAGGACTGTACCCATCTGTGCCTCTGCTGCCTGGGCTCATCTCATCTCAGCGGCCTATCCCATAGCCCCCAACCTGGATGCTAGGCTGAGTGGGTCCTCTCCTGAGCCCCCCAACATTCCTGTATAATCCCCATACTTGACACCTCTGCCCTCATGAAGCTTCTGATGGGGTAAGGCCTGGGCAATGCACAAAGGACCCTTGTCTTTACCTTTATCCAAGTTTTATTACTGCCTCCCCAACTCGCAGATTGAGCATACCTTTAAAACTTACTATATCTACCAATGGGTCAGTAACAGCAATAACGACACCAACAAAAATGGAAAATAAAATAAAATAAAACATACTGAAGCTTGTAAACTTTTTTTACCAAGCACACACAAAAAATTTTTCCTCGTCACCATAATGTATAGTTCTAAAGTCTAGAATGTGTTATATCCAGAGTCCATCCAAATCCCACTACTCGGGGCTGGCATGGATTCAGGGTGGAATGTGAACGCTAGACCAGGGAAGCTCAGCATTGATCATAACCTCTTCCCCTGGGAGGAGAAGGTAGAAAAGGTCCTGGGTCCAGAGCTGACCTCTCTGAAAATCAGCTTTCACATCTGGGCAGCTGCTATGAGCCCCTATGGTGTTCAGCCAAGCCCCCAAGTCAACTAGGGTCAGAAAGACTAAGGAACAGTCTTGAACCCCCTCCCCACAACTGCCACACCCCCCAACCACCCTCCCACTCCACCCCATAGCCACCCCTAATACCAACAGGGAAGACACCCTTGAGTTGGCCCCTCCCCCTCCCATGGATCCTGCAGTTACAAACCAGAGGCCCCCACCCCAGGCCCTGCCCCATCTCCCAACTAGTATTAAAGAAAGGAGGTACTGACCTGACTGTTCTGGAATTCTCACCATCAGATCTGAAAGACAAACAGAGAAAAAAAACCAATACAGTCAGTATACGCTCTCTACTCTTCTCCCTCTACCCTAGGTAGAGTGGCTTCGGGAGCCTTGAGGCCTAATGCTCTTCATAAAAACGAGGGGAAGAGTATTTCATGCGAAGAGAAGAGAATAGCAAGTGCAAGGCCGGCAGACTTGAGAGTGCCTCGCCAGCTGGCGGGATGGAGAGGAAGACGGTGGTGCTGGGGTGCAGTGAGCAAGGGGAAGAGTGGTCGGAGGTGAGGTCAAAGAGGCACCAGGAACCAACCATGTGGAGCCTAGCGGATCGCAGTGAGGAGTGTGGCTTTCCTCGAGGCAGCCAGCAGCCGTGGGCAAGGGCAAAGCCCGAGCTTGAAACACAGAAAGACCTAGGCTCAAATATTGGCTCTGTCACTTACCAGCCCCATGACCTGGGCAAGTCACTTCACCTCTCTGAGTCTGAGCCTTAGTCTCCCCCATTTTGACACGAGGCCGATCCTCACGGGGCTGTTGGGATAATTAAGCCCTTTGGAACCCGGTAGGCAAATGCCAGGTATTATTAACACCATAGAAGAGGCTTTGCCAACTGCCTGCTCCAACCTGCTTATTTTCCAGATCAAGAGAACGAGGCAGAGGGGATAAATGAGTCAGCTACTGGGCTCCTTTCTGCTACACTGGTCTGCCTTTTTCATTGTGAGTCCACTTCAGAGGCAAAAGAAGGCGAGAGGAGAGAATGGATTTGGGAACATCACTGAGGGAACCAGGGAAATGAGTGAAATCTGAACCACACCCTTCCCCTCCCACTACTCCTTCCTAAGAAGAGTGTGAGAGTGTATATGCGAGTGCACGCACACACATGTGTACTTATGTGTGTGTTTGTTTGTGTGTGTGTGTGTGTGTGTGTGTGTAGAGGAGGGAGGGTCAGACAGTGGGGCGGAGGAGGACCATGGAAGTTGAAAGTGGAAGCATGGCCGGGCGCCGTGGCTCATGCCTGGAATCCCAGCACTTTGGGAGGCCGAGGCAGATGGATCACAAGGTCAGAAGTTCAAAACCAGCCTGGCCAAGATGGGTGAAACCTCATCACTACTAAAATAAAAAAATTAGCTGGGCATGGTGGCAGGCACCTGTAATCCCAGCTACTTGGGAGGCTGAGGCAGAGAATCGCTTGAACCTGGGAGGCGGAGGCTACAGAGAGCTGCCAAGATTGTGCTACTGCACTCCAGCCTGGGTAAAGAAGCAAGACTCCCTCTAAAAAAAAAAGTGGGAGCATATGGGACACAGACTTCCCCTTCCTTCTTTGTCATCTTTCTCCATCTTCACCCCAGGGCTCCCTCCCTCCCTTATGCTGCAAAGGAGACAGAGCTGAACATAGCACAGGCTCTGTCCTCAGCTGAAAGAGCCAAGATGTGTCCTGAGGGGAGTGTCCATATATGCTAAGCTTTAAATGACAGAAGGGCACACAGGGAGAGGAGGAGGTGGGCCTCAGACAGGGGCATTTGTTGAAAGAGTGAACGGAGGCCCCGCTGGCGAGGTGGGGCAGGCAGGCATCAGGGTGCTGCGACCACAGCACTCCCGGTTCCAGTACTTACAAGCCATGGAATCGTAGCGAAGGTACTTCACTATGCTGAGTATCAGTGCTTTGCCTTGTAAAATGGGGCTTTGGGGGTGAGCTGGTGAGAATCCCTCCCTTTATGGGGTGTGGCTGTGAGGCTCAGGCCAGCACAGTGCCTGGCACATGGTAAGTGCTCAGCAGATGCCAGTAGCAGCAACCCTTAGCCTTCTCACCCCCCTGAAGGAACAAAGGACCAGGGCCACAGCGCGCGTTATCACATTTATTAAAACTCTCCATCTCCCTCTGCAACAACAAGATTGCTTCTGAGACCTGGCCAAATTATTCTCAGGTACCAGGTATGAGGGGCCTGGCTTCAGTGACTTCCCAGATGCCTACAGAGCTGAGCATTACCCTCTGCTCTAGGCAGGGCAATCTCTTCACCACCCACCT